TTTGTATTCTTTCACTTTTTGTTGCATGTGTGTTGTTGCTGCCTGTGTTTGAGTAATTTCTGTAACTGTGAGACATCTGCTGCTGCCTATCTTGGCCAGGTCTCCCTTGAAAAAGAGGTTTTTAATCTCAATGGGATCTTCCTGGTTAAATAAAGGTTAATAATAATAAATAATAATAATAATAAATACTGGAGATAAAATGATACCTCAGCTAAAAACATGTCTGAAAAATCAGTGCCAAATCGTGACAGCACACGGTCTAACAAAATATGACCCCCACCCCCCTGTCCGGGACCAGGCCAGTGTATATACTGAGCTAGTGGAGTGGTATATTGATTTTTATTTTATTTTATTTTTTTGCTGCTGCTGCTCTAAATTTATCAAACTGTCCATTTGATGAACAAAAATGCGTCTTCCCTGTAGATGACAAACTATCAAGGAATACTACACTGATTACTTTTTCAAGAATCATCGTGTCCCTGGACCCAATCTGTGTGAATTTCCAGTGTCATTTCCTGAATCCAATGAAACATTTTCTACAGACAGCAGAAATGGAATAAACATCTCTCTACTGAAAAAGGTGTTCATCTCAGTGATTGGCAGGGATGAGGATGAAAGAGGGTAACATACCAAACATGGTATTTTTTTCATTTACTAGATTTTTCGATTGATAGCACACTGTGCTGTTGCATTTATTAGCAAATGTAGTAAACCAATATGTGAACATTTGCGTCAATAAAATTCAAAATACCTTCTGCTGTTAAAAGCTCTGGATTGATGGTTAGGCACCTGTTGATGTGGTCATTTTTCTCTTTCTGGTAGATGGTCTCATAGATAAAGTCATACTCCTTTTTGTAAACTGCATATTTGTAGGGAATGCTCTCTTGAATTTTTTCCTTGGGAATCCGATACTGTCCTTCAATACGATATTGGTTCTCCCCAAAAGGGCTATTAAACAGAAACCATTCTTGTTAGAGATGGAACATACAGAGAAGTGACAAACTAATAATTCCACAGAGGCTAATAATTGTTCCTGGGGGAAAAAAGGGAATATGATTAAAAATAATTGCAGTCTAAATTCAGTCTCTTTGATTCTCAGTGTAGAATTTGTAAAACTCTGTCTGTCTCTCTCTCTCTCTCTGTTGTTTTTTTAGTTATAAAAACTATTAAGCTATACCTGGGGAACATTTCAGTAAAACCATCCCAGCTTCCAAACAACACTTCAGATTTTAAGACAACAATGTCTTTCTCTGGTTCCAAATGAAATTCTTTAGAAATGACAGCATGAAAGTACACCAGTATTTCTTCATTGATTGATGAACTGGAAAAAAGGAGGAAAAAATGGCAATAATGTTAATTTCATAGTTTAATATGTCAAATAATGTCAAATACATACTGTAGTCCTGTCACTTACTCTTCTGGTATCTGAAATTTACTGGATGGCATCAAGATATTCTCTTCCACTTGAGGTCCAGAAAGGCAGGAAGTTGTTTGCCTGTAGATACCTGCATCTTCGTTTCCCCGTTCCTGTGTCTCTGTCAGTTCTGAATCTGTCTTCTCGTCTGAATTAATATCAGCAACCTTTGAAAAAGTGAAAGTTGATGAGTAAAAAAGTCCCAAGTAGAATATATTTTTCATTATTTTATATACCATAATGTATACATATACAGTGAAAGAAAATCACGTTCTAAAAGTCATACAGGAATCAGATAGTTAGTCATAGTCACACCAACACTCTACATGTCCTCCTTCACTACATCCATCAACTTTCTCTGTGGTCTTCATCTTTTCCTTCGGTCTGGCTGCTCCATCTTCAACATCCTTTGTTCAAAATATTCACTATCTCTCCTCTGCACAATCTCAGCCTTGCCACTTAAACTGCAATTTGATTTATATACCACATTTTACTTTAAGTAAAGTCACTGTCCTTAAAATAGAAGGTCAAAACATAAAAACCTGGGTAGGTTTAGAATTCCTTATGAAATTGTCAGTACCTCTAACTCTTTGCAGCTTTACTGTTACCTGTCTCTCTCATTGACGCACAGGTGTTCCGTCTTGCGTCCACTGACTTTAATTCCTCTTTCCTCCAGAGCTCCACCTCTCCAAGCTCTCTTCCACCTGATTCCTGATGTAATCACACCCCCACTATGAATCCATCTGTCATTCATCTCTCAACTCCTTGTACACTTCTTGTCCAGTCCTCAAGCATCTCCCACTCTTCAAGAGTGTGTTAAACAGTCTGTTCAAAGGGTCCAATGTCCTCTTTCCTAGACATTTCCATACCTCTACAGGTATCATAGCTCTCATTACTAATCCTTACCAATACTCTGCACTTCCTGATTCGCTAACTGTCCTCTTTTCTCTCTCTCACTCACTTTTATTTGTATATCAAAATGGACCATTAATTAATATTACACAATTAAAACTGATTTCACACTGGCAAAATCATTACATGACTATAATAAAAGAAAATAATATTTTTACTGATGTTGTGATTTTGCATTTTGTATAAATTCAGTTTAAGAGTTAGAACAATTTATTTGAATTTATAATACCTTAGTTTTCTTGGGCGATGTTTTCTTGTTTTTCTTTAACATCTTTGGAAGCCTGATCTTGATCGTCTTACTGGGTTTTCTTCTCGGCTGTGGTTAAAATTTGATGTGCTGATTATTGTCATGGTAGCTTACATCTCTAACCACTTTTTTGAGCATACAAATGTACATGATAACGGAAAAGTATTTACAGCTTTATGGCAACCCAAACTGGCCTGACTGAAATGGATAAACTTGGTGTAAAAAGAGAACAAAACAGTTTTTCATATTCAGAAAAAGGAAGTTTCATAAACATCGGTAGATAAATTACATATTCATTGTTATATTATGTATAATAATAAAAACGTGATAACATATACTTATTATGATATTGCATTTCTGTGCAAAATTTAGTCTGAGGGTTAAAACTCTGTTTGACTTTACAATACCTTGGTCCTTTTGATAGTTCCCTTTGTTGGTAGGCTGAGGCTTGTAGATTTCTGTCTTTTCTGGATATTTTGATCATTTGAATAACATTTCTTGTCTTTGACTACTTTGTCTTCTTTCCTGCTAGCCTTTTTTGTACATTTATTTTGTTCTGTGTTTGTGTGGTTCTTATTAACATCTGAGTTCCCTGATGGATTTTGTATTTCATTAGATTTTTTCTTGTCTGTAACTTGTTCTGGGGTGTTGTTCTTAGTTGATTCAGGAGCAGTAGAGGCTGTTTCTGACACGAGTCCAGAATGAATGCCACTTAGCTTGTCAGCAGCAGTTTGATGTTCATCTGGTCTGTCGTCTTTGTTACTCAATGCATTCTCTGCTTCATGTGCTGGTATTTTGCCACCTGCAGTTCCAGGGGATGGCAGTATTGTGGAAACAGACAAGTTGGTTTCAGGTGTTGTTGGCTTATTGCATGATTCAGAATTACTTTCAGCAGTCACAGCAATTGGCATATTTTTCTCTTTGCAAGTATCTGTAACTTGAGGGGGAGCAGGTAATTCACTTTCCAAATGTGTCATATGGAGAGATGAGGATGTGATTCCACTTTCTGCTGTGGCTGAGCCTGTAATGATATCTGATGATGTAGCATCCTCTCTGGTAGGTTCTGATTCACCAGTGGCCAACTGTTCCTGGAAAAAAAAGCTACATTGTTAGTTCTTCAAAAACCATTTTGAAATTGATAAGTATATCTTAGTTTTCTCTGGAGGCAGAAATTAAACATCTTTTTGTTTAATACAAATAATCTAATACACATAAAAAGTTGTCCCATTTTTTATGTCAAACATAAGGTTCATCTTTGCAGTCTCAAAACTTAGTGAAACGTGTAAGTTAGCACACTGTCTGAACAAGAAATATTTGCGTAAGCTGAATGTGGAAGGACTGCAGAAACTGGTTACTCTGTTTTTAAGAGCTTGTTTACTGCAGTTGATCACTTTGGTATGAAACCTTGGTTTCACTTTCAAAAAGAGGATTTTTATTTTTATTTCTCAATCAAAATTGCTGGATAAATTACCTATTACATATGTAACTTCACAAATATAACATGTATTTCTCAGCCTTGTCACCTGTATTTGAGTAGTGCTTTCTTTAACAGCATGGTCTTGATCTTCCTTTTGGTTTTTCTCCTCAGCAGTGGTTGAAATTGGATGTGCTGATGTGGCACCATCTGTTTAACCATTATTGCTTGGTTAGTTACATATATCAAACAATGGTGAATTTGGCAAAAGTTTTTTTTTCTCACCTGTTAAATATTCACCTGTGGTACCACAAATGAACTCCTTGGACTAGTGTTAATATAATTTTTACTGTTATGATGTGACACCTACCTTGAGCACTTTTTTCAGTCAGGGCAGATAACTTGAAGCCACATTCAGGACAGAATTTAAATGACCCTTCGAGTTTAGTTCCACATTTAGGGCAAGCCATGATGTGCCTGTTTCAAAATCATAAATGAGAGGGCATTTTAATGCCCTTATAAAGTATTAGAAGTAGAATGGCAGTAATCATGGATTTTAAAACACTCGAGCTGTTTTAATTTTATTATCCACCAACAATCCACAGTGACAAGATTTTCCTGTCAGAGCTTGAATTCCGATTTTATATATAGGTCACACGAGTGTGTGTGTGTGTGTGTGTGTGTGTGTGTGTGTGTGTGAGAGAGAGTGTGTTAAAGGTGAAGAGCCAAAGAACACTCCTGTCTCCTAAAAAACTGGATACGATTGGCGTTTTTAGGAGAGAGAGTTCTGTCACATAAACATATCTTTGGATGGCTCATCATGTTCACTTTTTGGTGACAGTTTTGAAAATGTGCAACATTTTAATTATTGAGGTCATCATTTCAAGTGGTGTTGTTCTGGACTGTTGTAAAAGCTACAAAAGAGGGAAAGACTTTGAATAACACGTGTGTCTACTTCGGCTTTCCAATTATCACACAGAATCTAAACTTCTTCTGGTTTTTTTTTTTATTTACTTGTTTGCTCTGCCCACCCATATCTTCACATTTGAAAGGTGGAAAAGGAAATAATTGAAATGGCTTACTGCTACTGCTAAATAGATTTTTATGGTCTGTCCTTATCAATAACAATACTTTTTCATTACAGATTCTGTATTTCTAGATAAAGAACTAAGACAGACATGTTCAGTTTTGGCCAATAGGTGGCAGTATTGATTATTCCAAAACACAATCTTTTTTCTTTTAATATGTTTATCTTTTTAAACTCACTCTCCGTAAGCAATCCACAGTAACAAGACTTTGGTGCTGTGTGTGTGTATATATATATATATATATATATATATATAATTAGTTACACCTAAAAAGCACCTAAACCTAAAACACACAAACAAATAATCTGAGATGACTCTAAGGCTTTGCAAAAAGCAGCTGCCGATATCGAGGACTGATATTATAAAACTTAGTGGTTACACAGAGTTACTTTCGCTTTCACTTCCTGTAATAGTGTAGCTGATTTCAAAATTTTAAATTCCATATTTTGGTTTACTGTGTTTTCTCTTCCAGCAAATTCATTAGCTATTTCTCTTGTTTATTTACAATTGTATTTTTTTTATATTTTACAAATGAATTTAGGTCGTCCGATATTTTGTATATAGAAACACTGTAACAATTAAATTTTGCCTCGCTAAAATATTCCTGTTTATTTCTCAACTAGAATATAGGACAGGATGAAAGGGGAGACCTTACGTTTCAGTTAGTAGTCTAACGCTTAATGCTATTAAAGATTAACACATTGAGGATATGTAACCTAATATTTAATACTGCATACTTGAATCTTAAAAGCAGCATAATGCAATATTAATTTCAGTAAAGGTAATCGGCAGATGACCTACCTCGTTTGCGCTTCTTCCTTACATAGTTGTCATTGAATATTTGAACTGCTATGTGTGTTTGTTCTTTACTCAGACAAATAATTACTTTCATTTTCATTTACGGTAAAGGGTGCGGCTGTTTTTCACAACAGACATCTACAGTTGCAATGAAAAAAACCGTGGAAGGAAGGATATTGTTCAGTTCTTGTTTCTAAACTATTAATCTTTCATTAACATAACTGCTAATTCATTCTCACCTGTAAAAACAATCAATGATTATTTCAGTCAATGTTAAGAATTAAAGTAACAACAATGCAGACATTTTCAGTTGTGGGTATTAGGTAGGGACGATATTGATTAATCTGAAATACTTGATCAGTTTTCAGTTTTTTTTTTTAAATGAAATGCATCAAATCAAATAGCGCTACACTTTATGTAAATTGCTTTACATCCTAAAAAGGTTTAGGCTTTTAGTTTAGTTGAATTGAAATGAAATATCTCCCTCTGCTGTTGCAGAGAAAAGTTGTAAGGCGTGTGCTATGGAAGAAAATGTATGGTGTATAGTGACCTCTTGTGCTGATATAGTGACGTTATTGTGGTTGTTTTATAGTTATCTATGACTCTACTGTGTTCAGTCATGGCTGCACTGAATTTGTATTAAGATTGATAAGCAATTTGATGTAACCAATGTTTCAGTAGGACATTAAACCAACTGCAGCACTGCTGCAGTCTTTCAGACATAAGACTTAGGTCAGACTTGAATACCCCTGCATTTCAACTTGAAATTAGATGGAAAGTTAACATCAATTACAGCAATGTTTCTTTTCATGCATTTAGAGAAAAATTCTCCAGCTGTCTGCAGACATTTTCAACTGTGGCCATTAGGTGGCAGTATTGATCAATCTAAAATTCCCCTCAACTGTGTAAAACATAAAAGCGTTCATATTCAGCTGTCATGAGCAGTTAAAGTTACATTGCACAAATAGTTGAATATACATACATATTAACTGCAGCTGATCAAGAACTGCAATTTCAGCTAAACAAAACAAAACAAAAAACCCCAGAAATGATCACTTAGCCTACCTCATCTTCAAACATTTTAATATTTCATTTTTATTTGCAAGCTAAAACTCTTTCCCAACACAGTACCAAACTACTGCAGAGCATTCTGGAGTGACTTGTTACCTTCTTCGTTTTATTAAATGCTAAGAATATAAAAACAAAAATGACACATCACTGCAAATGTCACAATGTTCAGCTTTTTGGCAACAGTGTTGATAATTTGTAAATTCAGTTATATGTCTAACACGTTAACATTAAAAGCATATTTATATTAGACTGTAATGAAAATGACAAAAATGAGGCTATTCTACAAGAAAGGACAGCAAAGAATGTGACACAAAGCTTTGTAAAACTAACCATATTGTCAACAAGGTGTAATTTAGGAGGACTGAAATAGAACATCTGCATAGTTTGAGAGCATTTAATCAGAGTGTGGGGAATGTTTCTTCCTAAATGTATGCATGCATAATATCCAGGATGGTGTTTGTGAGGGAGGCAAATAACACAATTTTCCTCTGCCTCTGAAGTCACTGCTCAAGCAGCGTGCTAAATCACATCATCTCATTCCTAGGCTGAATTGTTGACCGTGCTAACAGACTTGGACACTGAGTGTGTGAGAGTGTGTGTGTGTGTGTGTGCATGCTAATCTCAATTCTGGGCTACTGAGTCCTCCTCCTCTTCTTTACCACCCACACATACACACATAAACACACCACAGCAGTTGCTAGCCAATCACTACCTCTTTTCCTTTCTATTGCCTTTACCTGCGTCACTCTGCATGTGTTGCCATGGTGATCACTGATGCTCCCTCCCCCCCACAAATGTGTCTGTGCTGTTCCAGTATGAAGATGAAGCCGACTCGTGGCTGGTGATGCAGGCAGGCTGCAAACGTCATCACTTCCCTTGGGAAGAAGGCCTATTTTTACCAGTGGGCACAAAGTATACCAAGCTGCCCAGCATATTTATGGAAGCGCATCTAATCCCAGCCTGCCAGGAAACATCTCTCCCCACGTCCTCTCTCTCTCTCTCTCCTCTCTCGCTCCATTCATCTCTCAGAAAAGCTGTTCCTTTCAAGGCACAGTTTTCCGCTTGAGCTGAGGTGACAGTACCTGTGAGGGTTTTGAGTGATCTTGTTAGAATATCTGTTCTTTATCTATGAGACTGAGATGTGATGAAAATCAGAGGTCAGTAGAGCTCCAATCTTCTGTTTTGCTCAAGGTCACTTTAGCTTAATAACTTCCTATTTGTTGTGATAGGAAGGATAACTGTGAAGGAAACCTAGAAGTCATTTTGAAACCAGGAGGCAGTTTATGCGGTTAGTTTTAGTGGAAGAACTGAAATAATGATGTGAGGAGATAAAGGTGAGTGGGATTAGAAAATGTTACAAAAATACCACAAATCAAGACATGATGGATGCAAAAATGAAAAAAGTCAAGCAGCTGTATGCATGCCGAAGCTCCACACCTCACCACCCGTTGATTCACCTTAGTTTAATTTACAGTCACTACTTTAAAATATTCTACTTATTGTTCAATATTGTTTCTTTATTAAATGTATTTATTTTTCCATCACACCTTCCAATGTTTATATGGCGTGCACACATATTAACCTTGCAAGGTCAAAGTTCTGTTTTATGTTATATTAATACATCTTTCTTTGTTTGAGTTACCTGGGGGTTGGCTTCTCCTCCTGTCTGGCAAAAGGTGTGGCAAAGGGCTGGGAGACCTGAAGTACCACTGACAGCCTAATTGGATTGCACCACATGCTTCATTGCCTGGGGGGTGTTTCATGTTTGTTTAATTGTTTTGTATTATTGTTAATTATTATCTGTTATTATTATCTTGAGTTTAGTCTATTGAGTTGACCTCTTTTATTGGTCTGCCTGTTTAAGTTTTGGCTTTGTTAAATATATTTTCATATTTTTGGGTCAATAAAACCCCTTTTTTGAATTAAAACCACCTGTGTCCTTTATGCTTTACTGCTTGGTCCCTGACACACCACATACTTTCGTTATCTTAGTAGCAACAATAGCTAGTGTGCACACCCTAAACCCAGGGCGAAGTTAATCATTTAACACTTTTATTTGTTTAGTCTCCCAACAACAGTAACTGGCAAATGTTATCAATTGTGGTCGTTCTGATTATGGTATAGACATGATTCCTGTTACAAAGGACACACCCTGACATTCTTCGCAAATGACAAGTAACGCTTTTATGAGCAATAGTTTCCATAGTAGGCGAACACCTGAAAGAGGAACCCTAGCATCATGTTTATGCAGAGTTCCTTTGATTTTACTACAAAATAATGAGTCTGTGTTTGCTCCATTTTCTCCTGTGTGGTTTAATAGTTGAAAACCTAAGCACTGCTTAAACTGAAGAATATACTATACTATACAATTATACTCACAGCATAATTTAGTTATTGTTATGCTATGCTGGCAAATTTAAGAAGAAAACAATGAGCAGGTATTGGATGATAAAAAATATGTTACAGAATATTTTAAATTAAGGTGATGTCAAATCTACAAATAACAGAAAAGGAAAATGGAAAGTATTAATGTGTTTATCTTGGGTGTGTATCAGTACAGAGAATATGTATCACCTCAGACTGTCTAATTTATTTGTGTATTGTAATTGTGTCCTTTGATCCTGCTCGCCTGCTGTGGTCTTTCTGTGATAACCTGGTCTTGGTCTGGACAAGATCTACACTGCTTCAAAGGCAATCCACATGTAAGGACTTCATCAGTATTTTTAGATGATTCCTTTAACTCCTTCAAAATGATAAGTTTAAACCAGCATAGGCCCGTGTAAAGTCTTTATTTATTTATTTACGTTTTATAGCTAACTACCTACCTACATCAGTGGGTTGCTAACAAATGTTGGTTACTAAATTTAGATAAGGTCAACCCACCCAAGACAAATCAATGCTGCTATCTCTACAGCCTACACAAAAAAATCCAAGTATAAAGAAGCTCATGGGAAACCAAGAGAACCGGTATTCAAATGTACGAAATAATTATAGCAAATTTGTTTTGCAAATTTCAAGTGAAATGCTTTTAAGTCTGCCTCATGTGCTAATGATGACCTTTTTCAGTAGCTAACTTCCCACTAAAGTCCACTGTGCACTAAAATCAGTCATGTTGGTATAATCGGTAAGCTATTATTAACTGAATAATTAATACATGCTTGGCTGTTCCTACAGTATCGTTTTGGCTATTTAATATTTTAATTATTAAGTTGCGTGACTTAAATTGAATTGATATTTGTAAAAGTACACTAGAAAAATCTGAGGGGGCACTGTAATAATGTATACTTTGTTGATCCCCATGGGGAAATTCCTTACTGGATTTACCCCTTTCACTCAGGGAAGCAGTAGGCAGTCAGCAATCTAGTGCCCGGGGTACCTCAAGGTGCCCATTCAGTGGATTTGAACCCCCAACCTTCTGATCACAGGGCTTCCACTCTACCTACTGAGCTATCAGTGCCCTATACTGTTGTGCCCTTTTTGGATGGGCCTGAAGCATCTGCCACAGCCACGATCATCCATACTGCACATGCTGGTCAGGTAAAAGCTATCCTGTGTACATGTTTAGAATTAAAATACAAGAAATAAACAAATTGTAAGCATCTGTAGGATAAACTTTAATAATGTAGTGCTGTATGCCCCACAGATCAGAGCAGTTATGTTCCTCTTTCAATGGTTCTTTCCCTTCTGATATATATACATATTTACACATACAGGGGTCAAAGTCAGCTGGAAAGATCTGGCACAGCATTCAAGTAACTCCAGTTAATAAATTGTTAAATCTGATAGGTAGGTTTTGTACAAATTACTACTGAATGATTTACAGTCCTGATAAAAAGTTTAGTACCACATGCCTTTAAAAGGCCAAATCTGTGCAAAAATGTGAATTCATTGTCATTTTCTGTCAGGTAGTCACACTGTCATGATGTTCTGATGGCAAAGGCAAAAGAATACAACTTTTCCTTGAACATGGTTGGATTGTTGAAATGCATAAGCATTAACTCCGTAACCATCCGACGGCATCTGAGACTGAAGAGCTTCAAAAACAAAAAACAT